AACTTAGACATCTATCCAGGGATAACCATATACGAGATTCCAGAGAGGAAAGAAGAAACGAATTTCCATAAAGAAGAGCTAATAGACTGGGTGATGGGGTAATGTTGCAAGACAACAAATCTGGGGTTGGATAAGGAAGCACAGGTTGGTGGGGTTAGGTAACAGGATGAGGTATTGCAGTTCTAGTCCACAAATCTATCTGGAGACTCTGAAAGGGTGAGAATGACGATAAGGGACAAAGAAAATTATGATCCTCATCATAAGAATCTATCATGCAAATTATCAATTTTGACAGAGCAATGCTAAGGCAAGAAAACAAATGTGTTAAGAAGTCATAGAGGTTAGTGGGGAAACGTCACAGAATCAGGACACAATCATCCTCAAATATGAGAGACAAGAAAATGTCCCACACTCCCTGCTGTTTCAAGTTATTGTTTCTTGTAAGACAGCCCATGTGTACCACGTTGCACTTTATTATGACGAAATGGGCGAGGAGTCCTGGAACAGGGTTAGAGTAAAGCAGACTTGACTTCCTAGAGCAAGCATTTGCTAAGTGCCAAGGAAAGCGTCATCCAAACTCTCAGGCCCCTCTAGCTACAAGCTACCAGCTTTCCCCCTCGCTCCCACTTAACAGATAAAATTCTTGACTTATTTCCACTTAATCCTCTCCCTTTTCTCACTCTATCTCACTGCCACTGTTTTCTCAGCCTACCTCATCTGCCTTTGAATTTCATCACTATATTTTCATCACTATTATGAAGTAGCTTGCACTAACGTCAAGGATTATTTCTTCCCTTCCCTTCCCTTTCCTTTCTTTCTCTCCCTTCCCTCCTTCCTTCTCTTCCCTCCCTCCCTCCCTCCCTCCCTTCTTTCTTTCTTTCTTTCTTTCTTGCTAAGGCTCAAGTGCAGTGATGCAAGAGAATTCCTAGACTCAAGAAATCCTCCTGCTTCAACCTTCCTACTGTCTTAGACTATAGACATGCACCATCCTGTCCTGCTAATATTTTTGTTTCAGTTTTGCAGAGATGGAGGTCTCACTAAACTGTCCTAACTGGTCTTGAACTCCTGGCCTCAAGCAATCCTTCCATCTTGGCCTCCCCAAGTTCTGAGATTACAGATGTGAGCTACCATACCCAGCCTAGAGTCACCAATGATTTCTAAAGAATATTTTACCAAAGTTTTCTTGCTTATTCTTTTGGCAACATTGAGCAACATTGTTCATGGTTTCATTGTTCATATATTCCCTTCCTGTGGCTGTCCAATATGTCTTTCTGCTTCTCTTTACTTTAAATAGTTGTCCTCTTTTCCCTGGCTCTTAGAGGACACTTTGCCGAATGTCGTCACAGCTCCATACCTTTATGTGGTCAGTCTCTTTCTTAGACACTTTCTTAATGAGATAAATTGGAAATTCATACAACAGACTAGTCCTCGAGGATACACACAATCCCAATACACATAAACGTACACTTTATTTTTATTATGAGTCTTAAGATCAGATGACAAATGTCCTGCAACTTTACTCTTTTAAAAATTTACTTTGGCTAACCCAAGTCCTTTGCATTTTTATAAAAAAATTAAAATCAATGCTTCAATTGTTACAAAAAAATCTGCTATGATTTTAAATGAGATTGATTGCATTAAATCTATAGCTCAATCTTGGGAGAATTTTCATGTTAATAATATTAAATCTTCTAAACCATAAGCATACTGAATCTCTTCATTTATTTAAATCTTTCTTAGTACCTCTCAGCAATGTTTCATGGTTTTCTTTTTACATGTTTTGTTCACATTTTATTATATGTATGCCCCAAAATGCATTCTTTTGTTATTAAAACTTTTGTTTTATAATTTAATTTCCTATTCGTATATTGTCAGCATATAGAAATGCAATTTATTTTTGCTAATTCATTTAGTGTCTTGCATTTTGTTAAATTCATTTATTAGTTCACTTGGGATTCTATTTTATTATTTTTAGAATCCTTAGGATTTTTGGTAAGCAATAATTTTTTCTCAATAAAATACATCTGTATGCATTTTACTTATTTTTCTTGTCTTCTTGTACTGGCTAGTAACTTTAGGACAATAGCTAAATTCTTTTCATAGACGCCCTTCATCAGGTAGAGAATTTTTCCTTCTATTACTATTAACTGAGGATTTTAATCATAAATGGGTATTGCATTTTTAAAATGCTTTTTCTTTATTTATTGAAACGATCATTTCTTTCTTCATATTGTTAATATGATATATTATGTAGGTTGTTTTTTGAATGTTGAGCCTATAGTGCACAGCTGGAATAAGCCTAATTGAGCAAACTTTATTATCCTATTTATATAATGCTGACTTGATAACATATTTTTAAGGTGTTTTTTAACTTTATTCATGTGGAATATTTAGTTGTTTGCTGTCTGGTTTTGTCAGATCTTTGATTGTCAAGATAATAATAGCTTCACGAAAATGGCTAGTAAATATTACTTATTTATCAATTTCATAAGGATTCTGAACAAGATAGGTATCATTTATTCTTTAATGTTTGATAAAATTCATTAATGAACTATACACATAGACCTAGAGAATACTTGTACCAAAATTTATAAGCACAGTGTCAGTTTTGGTAATTTCTGGTTTTTAATGGATTTGTGCATTTCTTGTGTATTGGCAAACTGATTGATTGTTCATGATCTCTTCTTCCCTTTTCAATGCCTGGAGCATATTTTCTCTTTCCCTACAACCTCAGCCTGGTCAAAAATTACTTCTTAGACAGGGTGGGGTTTAAGGTCTATCATTTACATGGTATTTCCAGTTCATAATTGTGGTAGTACCTCCCTCAGAATGTATTTTTGTGTGAAAGCGGATTTATAAAGTTTATTCATAATAGTAGACTAAAAGTGGTGTGTGGGTGTGTGGGCATGACATGAGTACTTTCCACAGTCAGAGGTCACTGGGCCCTCACTGACGTGAATGACCTTCCCACATGAACAGCATCCCAGGGCGGATCTTTCAAAGTCCTCTTGTATGACTTGTATGATTATTATTGCTTTTATATAACTAGGCAAGTAGTCAAGGATTTACTAACTTCTGTATCATATTGTGTTTATTACTTTGTACCATAGTGTAAAAAGATGAACTTTGTAGTCACATGGACGTGCATGCAAATTGTGGCTTGAGTTTTTGTATATATATATATATATATATATGTAAATATGAACTTGGATATTTTATTTAATTCTTAGTGTCTCCTGGAGCAATATTTGTAAACTGGGATTTATAATCATCTACTTTTAGCGATGCATTAGGGATTACTCAAGATGACATACATAGTCCCTGAAGCTCAGTTATCATCAATGATTTGATTCCTACTAATTTTATATAAAGTTCCCCTTGACATTCAGTTTCTCTGGACAGCTTATCAATTGAGAAAGTCACCTGTTTTCAAAATAAGTACAGGATTAACCATCTTTTGTCCCTATTTAAGTAGCCATCTAAAAGGTCCATAGCCACATTTTTCCCTGATTGCAGGGACCATAACTCTGCTCCCCATGGTAATTTTTCCTTATGGGAACTGTATTTAATGATTGCTGAAATCATCAGATGTGGAATCTTGGCTCTCTCCTTGAGGGGAGAACTCAATGGTAAAATCAATAAAGTTTAAATTATCTCTCAGATATCATTTAGAAAACAGTTCAAAGTCACTTAGCAGACACTGTGCTAGAGTCTTCTGGAACTTTCCAGCATTCAATGTTGGTTCCTGTCAATTATTTTAAAAAATGCTATGTAAAAAGAAAGTCACAGGGGAAAGAGGATTCTCAGCTCCTGTCCCCCACCTGAGAGATGAATAGAGTTGGGAGAGAAATAACCTATCAGAGGTTTTTCTACTTAGCGGAAAGTTTTCATTAATATCATCTGCCTCTTTTTCAAGACAGAAGATGGTCAAAGGGAGCATCATATTAATTTATGTGTGTGAACATAAAAGTAAAAATCTGTTCTCAAGTTAAAGATTATCTAACAGACTTTGATCATATGGTGTAAAAAACAACAGACTCCCTCTGACATCCATTCTGAGAGACCACAGGGACACATTGGTCTCTCCTGGCTTGCAGCAGGGAGATAAAAGCAACAGCTGAATAATCTTAATAGAACTAAGATGGCCTTATATTGTGCTTGCTGGAGTTTTTCCTCTTTAAAAAAATTACACATGCTGATTTTTATTGTTTTACTCGCTAAGCCTTATCCATCTTCATGAGCTTATAATTAAGAAAATATTATACTTGGAGGGACTCCAGGCTATTATCAAATACAACTGAAAAGGAACGGAAAAGTACAAGTTGTGTAACTGTTGTTCCATAGCCCAGCTATTTGAAATGTTGATATAAGACCATCAGGAATTCTCAGTGTTTTGTGGGCATTTTAAAGAGCCGCAGGACAAAATTGGTTTCAAACAATTCATAAATACAAGTAGTGAACAGAGAATATTTGATCTGTTTTCCTATACTTTTCATTCAAAGGTTTGCTTTGTCAAGACTTAAGCAGAAAACCTAATAAAAGCACTAGGTAGTCAGGGCCTATCTCTCTATCGGGCAGCAGATGGCAGTGTTGACGCATGAAAAATCCGTCCACGTTCCCCTTGACAGTCCCTGCAGATTTTCCTTTTCCTTAAACTAAGTTAGGTAAAGAACTCGAACAAGATAATATAGTTGACATCCCTGTACCATTGCCCTTCCATAGGTTTTTCCCCTTCTTACACGGAGATATCTTTTCCACTTGGAGCTCTCTTTAGGCGTCCACAAAATTGTGATGTTTTAACTTTTTGTCCACCCAAACCCCTATTTGGCATTCAGCTGAGTAAATGCCAAGAAAATACTCAGCTCAGCAAATGTTCTGGAGAAACAGGCGCTCCAACCTCCCAAGCGTCCGGGACACTTTCCTGACTGTCTTCTAATTAAATCTCCCAAGTGGAATTTTCCTAAGTCAAATAGCAATGCAGACTCTCTTCCTCCATTCAGATCCCTGGAACATCGTCTGTAGTTCAGAGAAAGTGGAAGCCCCTGCAGCCTGTGTCACAGCCTCGGGGATCAGGACAACAGACCAAGTCTAGGATAAGCGCTGTGGCCGCTGAAATAAAGCAGATCCGAGCCAGAAGGAAAACGGCCCGGATGCTGATGGTGGTGCTTTTGGTGTTTGCAATTTGCTATCTACCAATTAGCATCCTCAATGTGCTAAAGAGGTAAAGTTCATCTCTTGTTTGAAAGTGAAGTTGCCTGTCATTTCTTGGTTCCTAATTAAGAGCTGTGTGTATTTTTAGTTAACAAAATTTTAAACTCTCCGCCTAGATAGCTTGTCAGGCCGAGGTAAGGTGAGTAGCCTTTTAGAATGCTCACACACACTGACGCCGGTGTCCGGGCCGATTCTCGGTTGAATGGCAGATATAAAACAGATGTTTCTCCAATCTCTTCAAGCTAATTGCTAAGCCTCAGATACGGAAAAAGTTCTAACGCTAAACAACTAATTTACAGCCTGCAGTTCTTTTTTGATGAGAACAAATGGGTTTTCCAAAACTTTTTGTTTTCAAAGACACAGGCAATCTTGACAGAATTCTCTCTAATGAAAACAGAGATAAGACTGTTTTGTTAGTTTTCTCATCATATACTTAAAAGCGCATTTTTGAGCACTAGACAACAACAGCTACACAGTAATCAAGGCAGATGAAATGTGTTGAATGTTTTAAAACTAAGAAAGAAGAAAGAAAATCCATTTCCTGGAGTCTGAATCAAACTCAGGACAACTGTTAATAAAAGACAGCACAAAGTTTTTCAGTGAGGGAAAGTGTGTTATTTGTTATGCTGCAGAGTCAACTATTAAGTTCAAACCATTGACCAAGGTCATGAACAGCAGAGGCAGAGGCAGTGGGACCCCCTGCACTTCATGGCCAACGAACTTAATTAGGAATTATCACAACTGTTGTACATGGACTGTTCCCAAGGCAATACTAATTTTATTTATAATCAGCTTCAAACTTAAACTAGACTTGCTCCTCTTACTTTTCCCTGAGTCAGAGTCAGTGGTGTACTCCTCACAGCTGGGAGTCCTAGAGCTCTGGCTAGAATTGGACTAACAATGGTATAACCAGCTGCAGTGATTCTCATTCTTTGGCCCTTGTTTTCTGTTGTTTTTTTAAAAAAAGTTACACTCCTTTATTATTTTATTTTATTTATTAATTATTATTATTGTTTTTGCAGTTTTTGGCCAGGGCTGGATTTGAACCTGCCACCTTCGGTATATGGGGCTGGCACCCTACTCCTTTGAGCCACAGGTGCTGCCCCTGGCCCTTGTTTTTGATTGCTTGATACTTTTTTTTTCAATGAAGAAGAAGTGGAAAATAAACTTTTATTCAGAAGTATTGTTTATAGCAGGCAAAGCTTTAAAGGTATATGAATCTTATACCTTAAAGCCTAGGTCCTTGAGACATTTGCCAGCTCCAAAGAAAATGAAAATTATTTTGCCTTCCATATCTTTTCATGCTTTCTCTCTTATTTTTATTTATTTATTGTTTTTGCTTGCAGAAATTCCATTTAAATTTATTCTGGTCTTTTGCTAGATGATGTTTTCTTTTCTTATGAACTTTATAAATATGTTATGTACTGGATAGTTTTTCTTCCCTTTCTCTCTTTTTCTTTTTACTCTTTTAGTTGGTCTAAATTCAAGAAAAATCAGATTTAATAATCCCTGAGTTGTTTGTTTGGGTTCTCTGTATCTCAGCACTTGCTCCTCTTAAAAATTACTTTCAAATACCTACTTATAAATAATATTTCTCTTATTCATCTCACTTAAATATTTTTCTTTCCAAAGAAAACAAATAACTTTCAAGGGAGAAAGTCCGTGATGCATTTAAATTATTTAAATCATATTGGACATTCTTCTCTTTTGCACAAAATAAAAGCTTTTTTTAATTAAATCATAAACATAGATCATGTATACATTCTTGCATTTATGGGGTGCAATGTGCTGATTTCATATAGAATTAGGAGTGTTTACATCACACTGGTTAATGTATACCTCATCTCGTTTACTTAATTACTGTGTTAAGACATTCAATAAAAACTTTTAAAAATAAAATAGAAAATGTTTTTTCTCATTACCCTATACCTTTTCTTCAAATATTTATTGCTTTCCCCTTGCATATTAAATTTTTTTTTCTTTCTCTCAAAGAAATAAAAATTCTTAGGTCTCTTTCCTTGAAATTTAACTTTTTGCCTGATTAGTCAAAACCTACTTCTTTAAAGCAATCCTTATTAATCTAAGACTAGACTTCAAAGATATTTTTAGGGACAGAGCACAGTGGCTTGTGCCTGTAATACCAGCACTCTGGGAAGCCAAGGCAGGTGGACTGTCACAGCTCAGGAGTTGGAGACCAGCCTGAACAAGAGTAAGACCCCATCTCTACTAAAAATAAAAAAACTAGGGCAGCCCCTGTGGCACAAGGAGTAGGGCGCCAGCCTCATAAGCCAGAGGTGGGGGGTTCAAAGCCAGCCCTGGCCAAAAACTGCAAAAAAAAAAAAAAAAAAAAGCTAAAAAAATAGAAAAACTAGCCAACTAGCCAGGCCTTATGGAGTCCCAGCTACTTGAGAGGCTGAGGCAAGAGGATCACTTGAGGTCAAATATTTGAGGTTGCTGTGAGCTATGACATCACAGCGCTCTACCCAAGGTGACAGAAGGAGACTTAAAAAAAGAGATATTTTGAGGTAGCTATATTGTTTCACTGTATACTCTGATAAAATTTTAGTAATGTACAACATCACTGCATTCTGTGAATGCATTTCTATCATATATCTTCTTATTTAAAAAAATAAATACAGATAGGGCACAAGTCATATAATCCATGATGCTGCCTCTGACAGGAGATACATTATTATCTTTGATAATAATTTATTAACTTATGGAGTAGGTATAAGTTATCTGATGTAGGTTAGTGAATAGAATTTGGTAGGTTAGATATTTCTAAGTATGGAGAAAATCTTAAAATCATCTTTAAGGATATCATAATAAAATATTTTCAGAGCTTAAAAATTAAAACTGATGAATTTTAAGAAATTACCAGAATTCTGCCTGTTAAAAACGAGTTCTTGTCTGGGTCCTACGGCAGCCCCAGAGGCCAAATTTCCAAAAGGCCAGGAAAACTGGAGTTGACCTATGGTACTTTGGTTAACGTATACATGAAAGTAGGAAAAGATACTTGCAGCCTGCAATTTCAAAGTGCTTTTTAAATAACATACATAATTGAATTATCAACACACTATTGCTGGGTTGTATTTGAAACAAAGTGAAATAAGGGAAATTCAAATTCTGCATTCTTATTCAAAAGAAATACTGCCCTAGCTGTTTACAGAAGGAAGAGGCCCTTCTCAGACCTGATTTGGTTTTTGATTTATTAATTGTGCCCTGGAGATTCTGTTCAGGTGCTGAAATTATCTAAGACCAATTGCAGTGTCAGAAAACTGTAAGTGGTCAATCAATGCCTGCGCAGAAGACAACAGCTGTCAGACAGCCCTTATCAAGAGCCTTATTCACCTTTGAATTTAGTTCATTGAAGGTACTTTCCAGAATCACAATGAATTTCTGTTACTGCTTCTTTCCCTGCAGAGTATTTGGAATGTTCACCCACACTGAAGACAGAGAGACTGTGTACGCCTGGTTTACATTTTCACACTGGCTTGTATATGCCAATAGTGCTGCGAACCCAATTATTTATAATTTTCTCAGTGGTGAGTTTCAGCTGTTTCTTCTATAAACCCAACCAAGGGTGAGGAATCAATGATCGGAAGGTTTCAAACATTCTTGAACTATAAGAAAAGTTTAGTTGCTACTCAGATTTTTTTTCTCCTGGCCTGATTGGTGTTGAGTATTTTTGTTTTCCTTTATGTGATAAAATACATGTTATTTAACTCATCAGATAAAATCATCTAAGTTTTTTTCTCCATAAAAATTGTTGAAATAAGAGAAAAGCATTGTGAGAAATCAATAATACAGAGTCTATGTGACATTCTTTAAACTTACGATTTACAAGGAAATAAAATAATTTAAACTGTTTTGCCTTGCTGCATTATTCCTTAACCAAGATGTCTCGCCTAATTGAGATTGAGTTGGAAACTATTCACTTTGAGATATTTTCCCATATTTACATTTCTCTTGGGATTGTCATCTCTTGGTTCATCTCAAGAATTCTCTCTGACCACCAAAAATAATATTAACCAATAATCTAAATGACACACATACACATGTCTATCTCTGTGAAGTCAACATAATTATAAAAATCCTTTCAATACGATCATTTCCTACTACCATTTGATTTATATTTTGCCTATCTTCCTTTTAGAATTATGTTTTATGTTTTGATTAGCTACATCTTTACATTGCCTTCTTCTCCAACCCATTGGCTGCTCCTTTGCTATTTCTGTCTTCACGTATATGGTAATTTTATAAGGAAGAATAGCAATTCATTTTATTGCATACTTAATAAATTATGTAAATCAACTTCATCTTTGGCCTTCTGACGGCATAGGTTAAAAAGAAAAAGGCAACCAATTCGATTTTTTAAAAATAGCTTTGTCTTAAGAAACAAAGAAAAGATTGCACTACTGTACTAAGACTCTAAGTCTGCACCAGCAGGTAAAACCGATAAAAAGTTGTGATAAGAAGTGTTTGAAGTGGAAGCCACGAAACCAAGTCCGATCCTGGTATGGGGGTAAAGGGTGAGTTAGGAGAGGCCACTGATAGTCCTAGAGAACTTGTTATACACCTGCTATTGTGCTAGGTCCTTAAATGTCCATCTTCTCATTTATCTACTTAATAACTCAGTGGAGTCACTGAGGCTCAGAGAGAAAAAAAAAAAAGATTCCTAACAGTGTCACTTACTCTAATAAAGGTGATTTGTTCATCTTCATAGTTCTCTACTTTCTCATCAGTAATTTAAAACTAAAACACGCGTTCTAAAGCTCCCCCCCTTCTTTTTTTTTGTTCTGCCTTATGTAGATTATAAAACTGAAACTTTTCTAGATATTTTAATATATTTTTCTGGATACTGTGTGGAATTGTGTCAGTAGTGGCATTTGTACCTAAAATAGATTTTATTGCTTTTGAAATAATTAAGAATCTCTGGGCATTCCTCTACAGATGACCGCTTCTATTATAGTTTTATGGTAAAAGTCTACCTAAGTATACACAAATATATGAGGATTGACTGTAGAGGAATAAAACAAACTCTAAACCTCACATATGAAAAGTGGTCTCATTATTTTATGGAAATACATCATTGTTTCAAGAGTCTACCCAGCTTCCAATAAACTCAATTTCCTTTCTCTATTTTCTCCATCTTTGCAAAATATTACACCTCATCGTTAGTGTGGCTCAAGGGAGCAAGTCGGTTGGACCCTATTCACGACTTGTTGAAACAGTTACGCATAATTCCTTTTCCTTTCCTTCTCTCTGGTTTGCCAGGAAAATTTCGAGAGGAATTTAAAGCTGCATTTTCTTGCTGTTGCCTTGGAGTTCACCATCGCCAGGAGGATCGGCTTACCAGGGGACGGACCAGCACAGAGAGCCGGAAGTCCCTGACCACCCAGATCAGCAATTTTGATAACATGTCAAAACTTTCAGAGCAAGTTGTGCTCACCAGCATAAGCACACTCCCAGCAGCCAATGGAGCGGGACCACTTCAAAACTGGTAGAATATTTATTCATATGACAAGATACCTGAGTAAAACTATTCTTTTTCGGCTCGGCGCCTATAGCTCAACCGGCTAAGGCACCAGCCATGTACACCTAAGGTGGCAGGTTCGAATCCCCAGCCCGGACCCGCCAAACAACAATGACGGCTGCAACCAAAAAATAGCCGGGCGTTGTGGCTGGCGCCTGTGGTCCCAGCTACTTGGGAGGCGGAGGCAGGAGACTCGCTTGAGCCCAGGAGTTGGAGGTTGCTGTGAGCTGTAATGCCACGGCACTCTACCCAGGGGGACAGCTTGAGGCTCTGTCTCAAAAAAAAAAAAAAAAAAACTATTCTTTTTAAAATCACTGGAAAACAGAAATTTTATTATCCCAATGATTGGAAGCTAAAATTACTTGTAGATCCATTTTTAAAAAAAAAAAAACTATTGTTCTTTGGAAATAAAAAAAGTCGTATTAAAATAATCTCTCAAGTTTTGATTTAAATGTGTTAGAAGTTTAACCTTCAACTGAATTTAATTCAGAGGATTTCACTTTAGGTTTCATGTATGGTAATTTTTGTCAATTAAATGTTTGAACATTTCTAATTCTTCTTTAAGTCCTTATTATTTTGATCTCTCACATTCAAATTCTCCCCAATTACCTAAAGTAGCCCATTGATTTTCTTTGGCTACTAAGAGAAGTGGCCATTGCAAACTTAATTGACAACACGCACATTAGTTGAGTTTATAGTTTTTTAAAAATCACAAAAGATTGTGGTTACAGGTGACATCTGAGAAAATATTTACATAGAAAATAGTAAAATAGCATATTATATTAGGTAATTCAAAATCTAGCTTTCAGAACTACATGAAATATGTACTAGCAAACCCTATTTTTCCATGAATTTCATCACTCATTGACACAATTTTCTCAGGTTTCTAAATTGACCGTTGCTAACAGTTTTCTCTTGCCTATAGCCAGAAAGATTTTGAATTAAAATAAAAGTTTCTGAGTAACTGCTAATACATAATAATTTCCATCTCTAAGGAAAGACTTTACCATTTAAGAATAAGAGAAAATCACATTATTTTATTCTCCTAACCAATAAAAATGATGTAGACAGCCTTGACGGATCAAATTAAAAATTCACTACTGTGCTAAGTGCTAGGGAATGGGAGGGTGGTGGTGGGTGGGAACATGCTTTCAAAGGAGCTGTAGTCTAGTGAGGGAGAGATGTAGATGAAGACCAAAGCTGTGAATGACTTGGGGTGGGGGGACAATTCCTGGGCATGGCAGAGCCACCAAGCACAGTGGTCCTCTCTAGAACCTTGGTAGTATGACTACACTTTATTTCTTTCCCATTTAATTAGGTAACAGTTAGTATCAGCAAGTTCCACCAGAGCCTGGGGCTGAGTACCAGGTGGTTAGGAGACTCCAGAGAGTCACTCACAACTCACAAATGAATAAGACTATCACATATTTTGTCCAACTGGAAGATCTGGGAGTCAAAGCCTTGACTATTTTAAATTTGTACCCCTGAAAAATTCTTCTGCTTCAAATATTCACTTTAAAATTAAGTTAAAAGTACAATAGGTATTTATGAAAAAGACGTTTTTCCTCTTTTGCTATACCAGCAGGTGTTTTGGTTGTATTGAAAAAAAGATATGGAGCATGGTATTTAAAAGATTTTCACAGAAGATAGTTAATATATTCTTTCCCACTCACCAACCTCTGAGATAAATGATACTACCAAATTATCCACATTTTATTTTTTAAATCTTAGAATTTGAGATTTTGTTACCCTGTGCCTTGTCACTACACAAAGAAAAACTACCCTCTTATGCAAGACTTATTGAGATTATATTATTACATAGCCACACTATATTGATGAAAGCAAACTATTTTAACTCTCTCCTTTCTCCGCTTTGGACATTAGAGAACTTCTTATTTATGCTGCATGAAAGGAGAGTTGTAATTTTCAGATAGTCATGAAAGCACTTTAAATAGTGTGAGGATATCATCAAATAACATTGATATATGCCTTAATAGCAAAGTATTAGCTCAGAGTAAGAATAAATTCTTTAGACTTTAGTATGCTTACGTCTTGTCATTTGAGGTGGGGGGAAGGGAGGGGAAAGAGAGAGAGAGAGAGTGGGACAGACAGACTGGGAGGCACGGGGAGGGAATGAGAAAGACTGACTTGGGCAGCCATTATGACACATCAATCAGAAGTCAGAGTTCTTTGGCTCTAAATCAATGATTCTCAAAGTGCAGTTGCTAAACCATCAGCGTCAGCATCACCTGGGAGCTTAGCAGACATGCAGACTTCCATCCTGTCCCAATTTAACTAAGCAGAAATTTGGGGGGGGTATTCAGGAATCTGTGTGTTAACAAGCCGTACAGGTGATTCTGAAGCATCCTAAGCATTGAGAGCCACTGCTTTAAATGATACTACCTGACATCAGATTTTTAGCCTGTGTGAACTAAAGTCTCTTACTGCACAGGTTTCTACAACAGGGGCCACCATCATCAGTACTGCCAACCTGTGGAGGTCTGGGAGAAGCAGCTGAGTGTTGATGTTGAACCTCACCACTGTCATCTCACTCAGAGAGACAATGGTTTACAAAGCCATTGCCACCGTGCTGTGAGCCAGGTGTGAAAGAAGACTGGGTCAAGGCACTGGTGTACTTCACGTCCACCTGGATGACCTGAGTTTTTAATTAAAACTTTCAACTCTCCCATTTTATTTATACTTGCTAAAGTTAAAATTTTGCAGAAGCAGACAGTTTCTGAGAATGATGATTGCCTGGAACGAAAACTGATAAACTAAAACCAGTAATGACAAGAAAATCTGGGAATGGAATAACAGACTGTACATAGCACTCAACGTGTGGAACCAGGAATCCTGAGCAGTCTGAATTTTGTATGATTACTATAATAGGACAAATGGTAAATAAGCAGGTGTTCCCAAAATCCTGCCAGTCATATGAAACGGTCAACTCCTTTCCTCATTATGTGCCAGTGACACCAATGTGAAGATGTCTTATGAAAGGAAAGTGTTGAGACTGTTTTATATTATGCATTGAACTACATGTTTCTCTCTCTCTTCTCTCTCTGTCTCTCTCTCTCTGTTGTCTCTCTCTCTCCTGTATTTCAAAGGTTTAATGTAAGATCAATGTCACTGAAATTTTGTTATCAGCAGGGATGATGATATAATTCTATCTGATATTGCATCCACTTGAACCTAATTATTCCTGAATTTCTACAAAAACCATAGACACCTGGATGTTGAATTCATTCATTCTTGGAAAAAGATTACTCTGTTAGAAAAACCACTTCTACATTTTCCAAAGCTTGCAGAATTTATCAGGCATCAAATACCTGTTACAATTATTAATGAGTTAATTGCAAGTGACAAGCTCAGTGATAATGAATTTCACTCCCAGGATACAATGTTTTAATGAAAATTAAGGTAAATACATAGGTTTATAAAATGGAATCTGGATATGCTGAAACTTGAAATACCAGAATGGCAAAAACCCCAAAAGTGTTTAGGGACCCAAATTGTGAGGAGGGCTATTACTGTTTTAATATTAGTATAATAATAAAATGTACTTGATGTAAGTCATATTAGCAACTAACTGCATTTCAAAAAATTGGCAAGTCATTATAATTTAGAAAATCTTTCAATACCAGGAAATTTTACAACAGATGACTTTTCTACTTCCTCCAAGTCACAAATTTAAAAAAAGAATAAATTCTAATAGGTTTGATTCAATTAGTCTTCAAACTGCATGTAGCAAATCACAGATTTTCTTTTAGAGACAATATATAGAGAAAGTAAGGTTAATTTAAGTCTGTGCTATTACCTTCTGTACCACAGAAAATAAAGTGCCAAGGCATGACACACACTATTATTTCCCAAGTTCAAAGGGAATTGTTTTCTACACAACTACTACTACTAACGAGGGGGGCAATACCCCCTCCACTTGCCACGTATTTCTATTCTCTTAAATTTTCATTATAATCTTTGGAGTTAGAATGTCCTTTAAGTTTTTCATGAAATGTATTTCTACAATTGTTATACCCCATGTGTGTTATGTTACATCAGTTGTTTAACAATTATCTTATCTCTTTAGTGTTCTTTATGCCTGATTGTACTGTGTCTTCATAAAGAAATTTCTTTTCCAATCCAATGTGATTACACACCTATTGCTGTAAAGGATGTGCATTATGTAATTTTTAAGTAAAAAACCTATTGAGACTTCTATAATCACATTCACACTGCCCTCTCTTTTGTATGAAAAATCTTCTTGTTGTTCATTAGATGAGTTGGATATTCACTCTTAATTAGTGTCAAATATTTTCAGTTAGGGATTGAATTAAGCCCTCTGGGGCAGTACTTAATGATCAAAATATTTTCCCAATAAGTTTACATAACTAGAGATAATCATGATATAAAGTGTTTTTAATATTGTTTTTAAGAACAGGTACTACAATAAAGAAGGTTAACATCCACAGAAATATTTCATAGAAGTTGTATAAACCCAGATACATATATAGACAGAAAAGAATCCAAACTCTATTTTGAACTGAATGTATGTGACTGTGTCAAGGAGAGCTGTGGTCAAGAAGCTTTGAGCAAGTGGTCCCTGGGTGGCAGGGATACAGTTTGGTTTTATACATTTGAAGGAGACAGGAATTACATGCAAAATAATAATTTAATACATGGAAGACTGACATTGGTTTGGCCCCACTTAAAAGCAGGATATCTAGAATCAGGGGGAGGTGGCGTGCTTATGGGATACAGGTGGGTTTAAAAGATTCATTGATTTGTAACTAGTTAAGGAAATGAACCTTATCTAAAGGCCTGTAATGTTTTAAGTTATGATAAAGAAGTCCATTAATTAGAGACAAGCTGCTGGATATTAATTGAAACTCACGTGATCTGTTAAGAAAATTGAAGAGTGAAGATGTGATTCTAATATTTGTCTTATGTTTCCGGTGGAGGGCCCCAGTTCCT